TCCAGTTTAGAGCTTCTTCTTTAATAGTGCAGTAACAGAATAACGCAGACAGCTCCAAGTGAGTACCCTCTGTGAATGGGCGGTCTCTTTCATGTGTGGAATTCTGAAAGTTGTAAGAGCAAATATACACTTCTAGCACTCGGTTACCATTCGTCACAGAAGTGTTTCGTGGGCAGGGTAAAGCGATCAGTGGATACAAGACAAAGAGAAGTGAGACAAAGTCATAAAAAGTCATAAAAAGTACACAGCCAGGTCAAGAAGTAAACTGCAGGGAAGAAACAGGTTTCCAAAATTTCACCGCAAAGCAAAAAATGAGGATTATGGTGATGATTTTGGAGGGCAAGAAAAAGAAGCTGACTGAGGTAAAAAGGCTTTTTCTGATTTTTTGAATTGGCACTGGGTAGTCTTCATCTTTGATATGCAATAGAACATAAATGGTGGGGTTTTTCTTTGCTGTCATTATGTAGCAGCCATTTCTTTTTGATAGCATCTGTCTGATCCACAGAAACCTGCTTTGAGTCTATTTTGAACTCACAGAACCGATTGCTCTAAATTAAAGCAGCAGCATTTGCTTCAGAGTAGTCAGGTACTATTTAAGACCTATATTGGAACATGTTGTTTGTTGTGCAGCTCCCAGGAAACCTTTTGGATGTGTACCATAGCCCGGGAATGGCAGCGCCTACTCTTACTGTCAGCAACTCCTGCCCTGCTGATCTTCCAAAAATTAAAAGGGAAATTACTGGTATAGTAACTTCCTTTTATAAACACGTGTCTTGTTTCATTTATTTATTTATTTATTAATAAACAGTTTAGCTTTTCGTAACATGAACGCTAACATTTTGTCTGTCAGATGCAGATGCCAAAGCAATAATGAAAGAAAGGCAGAAGAAAGACAATCATAACCTCAGTAAGTCAAACCTTTGTTCGAGATCATTTTTTTTAACTTCTTGTTTGAATATGATTACAATAAAAATATAGACCGCAATGCAGATTCAGAATCACAACATCCTATTTACTTATTCGTGCACTTCTGCTTAATACCAGCTGATTGTTAGAGGTAACCTTGTGTGCCTTTGCTTCCTCTCTTTGTTGGTTGCAGTTGAGAGGAGGCGTCGATTCAACATCAATGACCGCATAAAGGAGTTGGGCGCTTTGATACCCAAGTCATCAGACCCGTAAGTGGGATATTCATTTTCCACTGCACACATGAAGTTACACTGTTTGAATTTTAATGCCTTGGGGGCCACGCATGCGGCGTATAAATCGTAATCATGTCCTCTGCTTCTGTTGTCTTTCCTGTCTTTACTGACATCGCAACAATGGCAGAGAGATGCGCTGGAATAAAGGTACCATTCTCAAGGCTTCCGTAGACTACATCAGGAAACTGCAGAAGGAGCAGCAGAGAGCCAAGGATGTTGAGATGAGGCAGAAGAAGCTGGAGCAAGCCAACCACTCCTTAATGTTACGCATCCAGGTCAGTGTTCAGTTCAGTTTTATTTATGTAGCGCTGTTTTACAGGAATGGTTATCTCAAAGTGTGTTTTGTTGTAAGATGAAGACGTTAGTGAGAGAATCCTGACAATCGGATGAGGCTGTATGAGAAAGCTCCATTTTAACAGGAAGAGATCTCTAACAGAACCAGACTTGACAATGGGCAGCAGTCTGCCATGACCAGATTGCAGTCATGGCTTTGTTGGGTCGATGTGGTGGGTTTGCAGTGAGGTCATGATATGACTTGATCTTCGAGGGCTTGCTAACTGTGGATTTTACAGCCATTAAAAACAAATATCTACTATGGACATCTCTTGAGTTCCATCTTCTGAAGGCTTTTCAGGGAGCTTTCAGAACAGCCTTATAATAAGTAATAGAATAGTGCATCTTAGAAGCTTATGTATGAACAAGTATTTCAGCATCACTCCGAAAAAGGATGCCTCCGATTTACTCGGCAGAGAAAAGATGGCTTTCTTAATTTGCTTGTTAAAGAAAACATTCTTGGTCAAAAATAATCGATTCTTCAGAGTGTTACAGGAGGCCAAGGTAGTGCCATCCAGACTAAGAATGCGTCTAAATAGGAATGGATCTGAATGGATGTGCCTGGGGAACAATGGTGCATAATTCCTTGAAAGTCAAAGAAAATCAAAAGCCGTTTGTCCACCTTTGCTGTTTAAGTGTAGACAGAAATGTAAGCGGGGCGTGAACTGTTTGTCTTCATAAATGTAGTGACTTCCACGTCCTTGGCCCTGCTCTGTTGTTGTCTTTTCACTCATATTTTTTCTAAACAAAGAAGGTCTTTGTCTTGCTGAAGAAATGTCTGTGTAACTGTCGTCACTACTGTAATACACACAGTAAGTCTGTGAAGTGTCTGCACTCATCCTGTTGGTTTACTCAGACATAAAGTTTGCACAAAGTAGGTGAAATCCACAAAATGTTATGTTTGCTTTATTTAGTTGTCATCTAGTTCTCAACTATTTATTTTTCTTCCTTATTGCAAATTTGGATCAACCAAAAATTCAGACTTGCTTTGTTCCATCTGTGTTTCATCTTATTTAGACAGTTTTTTGGGTGTAAAGTTTAACACGTGGAATGAATTTTTCAATGGAAAAACATAAAAGGAGCTATCCAATATAGGAGTACAATAGATTATGCAATAATGACATGAGTGATTTCTGGCCATCTGATTAGAAAACATGCTGTTCTTGTTTTCAGGAACTGGAAATGCAGGCACGGCTTCACGGCCTCTCAAACTCCAACAGCATCTCTGCTCTGAGCTCCGACCCCTCTCTGCTCCAGCAGCAGTCCACAGTTCCACAGAGCAGCCAGTCTCTGGCTCCCAACACGGGAGGAGCCTCCAACCAGAACCTCCTCGGTCCGGCAGCCATTGGGCAACCTTTGCCTGCCTCCTTCCTGTCCCCACCCTCCTCAGACTCTCCCGCCGGACTCACCATAAGTAGTCCGCTGGACCTGGGCAGCCTGAGCTTCGCTGAGCTTGATGACCCCCCGGCCTCCGTCCTCTACTCCGATATGGGTTTGGGAGACATACTAATGGATGACGGGTGCACTCTGTCTCCAGAGAGGATTGGCGAGCCGCTGTTTTCTCCTTTGTCACCGGGTGCCTCTAAAACCAGCAGTCGCAGGAGCAGCCTTGAGATGGACGAGGATTTGTGATGATTTGCGTGTGGTCAGAGACTCCGTAGGGACAAGAATGTCAGGAAGTGCAGTTTATCCTTAAACAACTATAGCCTATTTATACAACTGCACAACTGAACTTTAAAAAGTCAAATTTAACTATAATTATGAACAAAACTAACACCAGAAGACAGCAAATTTTAATTTTTCTTTGTTTGTTTGTTTGTTTTTTGCTACACAAATTCATTATAATTGTTCCTGTTTGGAGCCAGTCAGACATCAGATGATTATGTCTGAGTTTCTGAATGCAATCTTAGTATAAAATGCAATATTGTACAATAGGGGCATGGACCTAGCATTAAGAAATGATACATTCTTAAATAGTTGTTAAGATTTCTTCAGAGATTTTAAGAGGGATATAAGGTTTGCTTGAATTTATTATATGCATATTTGTAGGGAAGAAAGCTGTGAGGTTTCTTTTTCGTGACAGGACATGTTTGGCACAACTAACTTGTCAAGAAATGCCAATATATAGTATATATTTCATGCGTGTGTGTTTTTTGTTTTTCTTCAGACTGACTGGAATCAGGGTTTGTTAAAAGCAGTTGCATACTCATGCGTGTTGGGTTGTATCACCAGCAACTACAGAAGGGATCTCTGTAAAAAAAGTGAATTGGCACATTGTGTAGTAGTTACAGCACATTGTAAATAAGAGTCTTTTATTTTGAGCAAGTTCTTTGCACCTTATTTTATGGCAGTCTATGCATTTTAAGAAAGCTCGTGTCTGTTTTTATTACTACTACATACAGCGGACAGCTAAGGCCCAGGTCGCATGTATTTGTAATAAAACCTTAAAGGCGGTGAAAAAAATTCACATGCTGCTGCAGCTAGTTAGCCAAAGCAGGATTTCTTCCAGAGTAGCTACAAATTACAAATCAGCATTTATATATATATATATAATTTTCTTTAATACATTCACTCAGTCAGTGGGAATGCAGAACAATTTTCTCCTTTTACAAAAGTACTGTAGTTCATTACATTTTTTTTATACCTGATAATTTGATAAGTAGTTTCTGCAGACTAATGCGTGTTGTCAGTTTGTCTCCATTAACTTTGGTAATCACTGAGTAATTTTTTTAACCAGTTAGCATGTTCTAATAAATATGTGGGGTGTGGTTTTTTTTTGTTTGTTTGTTTGTTTTTTTGGATGATGAAAAGTGATATAATCTAATAATGGATTCCTGCTCATTGTAGTCTGAATTCAGCTGGCTCAGACCTCCTTTTTTAAACCAACCACTAGTCTCACTTCTGTTATAACAATGTATGATGTTTTGTTGAATGAAACCTCAATGCAATTATTATTCCATTAAATAGTCACAAACGTTAGAAAGAAAACGTTTTTTTTTCATCACATGCTTACCGAACCTTGTGTACAGTTAATGAATGTGTGTCTGAGTATTTTTGTTTTTTCTAACACTGATGTAAAGTTTTTAGTTAAAACAGCCAAAAATATATTTAGATCATAGCTTTGAGTGGCATTGATTGGTGGTTACAATAATTTTTTAAGCTCTCCACTGATCGTTCAGAGCGTTGGAGGTACCTTTCAGCTTAAAGCAGCTCCACTCCATCACTCAGCGTTGCTCGTCGTGTTCCCGTAAATCACAGAGTAGAACTTCTGTACTTATTCAGCTTTTACTCTTCTCCACAATATTAACCCTGTCTTAACCAGGCATATACACAGTGACTCATACTCACACCGACTGTTAACTACAAACTAACATGTCTTGTCCCTGCAATTTGGCTTTGAGATTTTTAACAAATAAATGATTGCCATCGGTTCGTGTGTGGATGTGCTTTATTTTCTGGCAGCGGGCGTCAGTGGTAAAGCATCTGAGAGATTTCCATAGCGAGGTCCAGGCATTCTGTAGCGTGGAGGCACAAGTCGCACAGCGAACAGTCGCTCTGGAAGCAGCGAGAAACACCCAGACACCCGCAGAGGTTGCAGTGGTGCATCACCCCCAGGAGAGGCTCGCAGTCGTAGAAGGACGAGCACAGCCACCAGGCGCACCCGTTAACCCCCCTCAGCGTAGACAGGATGCAGTCCAGGGGGTGGCAGAAAAGACAAGCCATGAGGATTGCAGCACAAAGGTCTCGCATAGAAGAGAAGGGTTAGTGAGGAAAGATGCAGAGAGAAAACAGATATATGGGAACAATAAGATGAAATAAGATTTCACTAAAGTTTATTGTCCTTACCCTCTGCTCCTGGGTCAGTGTGAGCAGAAGTGGTTTTAAGGCTTTCTTGGCTCTTGCACTTTGCTTTGGGTGGATGGTTCAATTCATGGACTGTGCTGGCCTCCAGAGAGGACGGCAGCAAGGCGCTGCGAGGTTTTGGCTGCTCCTTTTCCACAGATTGTGGACTGCAGATAGATACTGCTCTGGTCACTCCTGACTTTGGTATATTTTGCATGTTGCATTTTTTGGGAGCTTCTGTGTGAGACAGAAGAAAGTCTTGTGAAAACATTTTTCAGAGGAGAAAATTACAAATAAAGAACTCACAGGTCACCGTACCTACTGTTCTATGGGAGAAGACATTCGCAGAGAGGTCCACTGAAGATAATTCAGTGTCCTCAGTGGAGATCTGCTCTGAAAAACTATTGACTTCAATCAAAGATTCTGGAGGCACAGAAACAAGGAGGAATCAGGTTACTAAGCATGTGTGTTTTCATTATTATCTGTTTCATGTGAGCATACCTGTAAGGTCTGCAGTGGAATCACGTGTAACGGGCAACTTTGAGGTAGCAGGCAGTGGATCGTGGAGCTCTGCTTTGTCAGCATTTCTATCGTACGTTTTTTCAGTCGTATCTGCAGATTTGAGCATGTCATCCATCGTTGCAATCACTTGAATGTGTCTTTGTAAAATATGGAAAACGATGTTTAAATTACATATTTAATTAAAGATTATAGCGGTGATTATTATGTTTAGATCATTTCTCCTCTTAAACTGGAATAGATGACTTTGTAATGCTGTAATGAAAAGCCTGTGCCACTACCAGAGAGCCCGAGTCTCTAGCTGAGGTTTCGTAGCTGTCAGTAATGAGTGGACATCTTGGGAAGTTAATCTATTATTTATCTCCATTTTAGATACATTCATAATGTAGATGAAAGCTAGTACACTCATATCCTGACAGCAATATGAGGAAGTGAGATCTTGAGTTTGCACTCATTAAAAATTAATTTCTTGAAGTAGTGCTTACCTTCTTTGACATTTTTCACACAGAACATTTTATCCACATTTCTGCTTTTTGATGAAATTTATGAGAGAGACAATCTACAAGGTGAGGTAAGGGCGCGCGAGAATAAGTAAAAAACAATGTGTCAAAAGTAACATATTTAGATTGGTATATTTAATACATTTGAAGATTATTAGTCACAAGCCATAAATACTTGAACACTGTGCTTTGGAAATCTGTCAGCATCTACAAAGTCTCCTTATTAGCTTCATAGGAAACAAGGCATACTTACATTTCACAGCATTTTGTAGAGGACAATCCAACACGCAGCCTTAATCACATCTCTCAGTGGTGGAGGTGTAACTGCTGCCATCGTCGTGCACAAGCTCTCTCTGTCTCTCTCTCTCTTTCCCTCTCTGTGAGTGTGTTTGTGTTAGGTGAGTGGGGGAGACACACCGAAAATGTAATATATTTGCTTATGTAAATAACCTTTTACGTCCTACCTAATATTAGTGGTACTTTTATACTACTGTAGTGCCTACATTTACTATTAATAAGCAAATCTTAACAAGAAATCGTGAAGCCGTATTATTGTATTAGCCTATCAGTGACTAAATGGTGTGTCAACCAACGACTGAATACATATATATCTCAAAAGAAAGAACAAAAACTCAAAGTTTAACACTTGATAGGAAAAGACAGACTGCTGGGACATGGTATCATTAGCAGGGATTGTGTTAGGGAATGCAAACAAGGAAAAGAAGCTTAAGTATGCCAAGTTAATCAGGTACTGGACTGAAAGTCAGGGGCAAAAGGTTTGATGGAGTGATGACTCCAAATTTAGTCTAAATCATCATCATCATATGCAGAGGAGGTCAGGAGAGCCATCTACAGACGTATGTAAAACAGAGCGGAGGCTCAAACCAGCTGTCAAGCATGCTGGTTTAAAGGTGATGATTTGAGCTTGTTCTGCAGCCACAAGAGATAGTCACCTTGCAGCTGACAAACTCTTCTGTATGCTAATGTTTTCTAGAGTCAAATGTGAGGCCGTTTGTCCCACAGCTAAAGCTTCTCCTAAATTAGGCCATGCACCAGGATAATGACCCCAAGTACAGAAGCAAATGTACAGCATGGAAGCCCAGACCTCAACCTGACTGAAATGCTGTGTATAAAGGAATGCTTGCAATGCTTGAATTGAAGCAGCAGAGTTGCGGCTGCTAACTGCTGGTTCTGTAAACTACTCAAACATAGAATGATTGCGATATTGAACTAAAACATATGCCTGAATCCTAAATTGTGGATATCCTATTGTGGTGATCGGAAATATAAAACTAAATGTGATTCAGAAAGTTTTCCTTTGTATATATTACTTTGCATCCAGTGGTTAACATATACTAAAGAGCATATATTTTCATTATAGTCAACAAAAATTAGGACTAAAATCTGGATTTAGATACATTGAAACCTCTTCTTTATTTTGTGCCATGTACTGTCACATATGCTAAGCCTAATTCCACAATGATTGCCTGAGCCTATTCTTGTTAAATGATGAAAAACTCAAAGGCACGTTTGGGCAGTGGATCTGTGTCAAATCAGCAGCTTGCAAAACTAAATCAAAATGTGTGCTATTGATTCTAAAAATAGAAATCACAATAAAGTTCAACATTTACTAAAACCGCCATTCAATCATCTGAGAATCTTTACTCATGAAATTATAATGGTTAGATGAATTTATATGCAGTAATTTACTGATCAATGATAAAAGGGCAGATTTATGCAATAACGAAGACTGTCATGAAAAGTATTTGGCACCTGATCTCCTGTAACCTGCGGAGCTAAGCTGTTTTACCAGCTCTGCTCTCTGATTTTTCTTTTTTCTTTTATGAAAAAACACAAGTTTTCAAAGTCATTTGTTTGCAAATGTATTTCAGAAATATCGACATACTTTTTTTAATCAGCAGAAACTTTATGTCAGTAGTGCAAAAA